GGCGTTTAGACTGACCCAAATACTCTTTGTCGCAGTCACCGCATGGTATAGAATATATAGCATGAGTCTTCTGATTTGTTTCAACAGGATCTTTTGGCTTTGCGAAAATATGGCCTAAAGTCAAATAGGGTTTTATGGCAACCTTAATATTACAATTAAGCTGATTAGGCTAAAGCTGATTTTCCCTTGTCTAAAGTTGAAACAGCCTTTTGATGTTCTTTTAGCCGTGTACCAAACTGGCGTTTAGACTGACCCAAATACTCTTTGTCGCAGTCACCGCATGGTATAGAATATATAGCATGAGTCTTCTGATTTGTTTCAACAGGATCTTTTGGCTTTGCGAAAATATGGCCTAAAGTCAAATAGGGTTTTATGGCAACCTTAATATTACAATTACTTAAGATTCTCTTGATTGGTTCTGTGACACCTTGAATGTATGGAATATTGCAAAACCCTTAACAGAGGTATCACCCTCGGAGTTATTTTGGTTCCTACAAACAGGTAGTCTCAGGCAATTATTAAGAAAACGCTTTGGGTAATTGTTTTCCCCTATAAAACATTTAGAACATATTCACGTTCATTAGCTTGAGAATCACTGTTTGACGGCAACGATTCTAGTGAAAGTGAATATGTTCTAAATGTTTTAGGGGAAAACAATTACCCAAAGCGTTTTCTTAATGATTGCCTGAGACCACCTGTTTGTAGGAACCAAAATAACTCCGAGGGTGATACCCAGTGGTGATACCTCTGTTAAGGGTTTTGCAATAGTTCCATACATTCAAGGTGTCACAGAACCAATCAAGAGAATCTTAAGTAATTGTAATATTAAGTCATTGAATGGTTTAAATCCAGGTTGAAACATTATGTTTTATTTGTTCTTCCAGATTAACAAAAAGGTAAAATACTTTAATTTGTCTAACGTTTCGGTTTCCTAACCTGACGCAAGATAGTAACGGAAAACTTTTAATAGATTCATAGTCTTTGATAATGGTTTCCGTTTAGGAAACCGAAACGTTAGACAAATTAAAGTATTTTACCTTTTTGTTAATCTGGAAGAACAAATAAAACATAATGTAATATTAAGGTTGCCATAAAACCCTATTTGACTTTAGGCCATATTTTCGCAAAGCCAAAAGATCCTGTTGAAACAAATCAGAAGACTCATGCTATATGCCTATATATTCTATACCATGCGGTGACTGCGACAAAGAGTATTTGGGTCAGTCTAAACGCCAGTTTGGTACACGGCTAAAAGAACATCAAAAGGCTGTTTCAACTTTAGAAAAGGGAAAATCAGCTTTAGCCGAACATGTATGTTACACCAAACACGAGATTGCGTAATTACCACAAACAATCGCTATGGTCAAAGACTTTGCCTAGAAGCGTGGCATATAAATATGAGTCATCATGCTTTGAATAGGGATGACGGTGCCTATTTGCCAGAGGAATATATGCATCTTCTTGGCAGGTGACGTCAGCCACGATCGCAGTTTTAGATCACCCCTGATAGAAGACACTAGACTGGAGTGTCGAAACGTTGGGTCTTGATTACAATTCGACTGGGCTTTGTAATCATTTATTTAAACCAGAGTAGCGAGCTAAACATGATTGATATACCTGGTTGCAGTGAACGAACAAACTTTATAAAATGAAATATCTCAAGAACTAAGCATGGGAACAAAAATCTTCAAAAGAAGTTACCATACAGTTTTAAGAGCATTTTCGTTTAAGAAAATAAAAATTTTGATACATGCGAGTTCCACTTTAATACATTGCTAAACTTGTTTCTATATTTTGAATTTCAGAAGAACGTTGGCAAATAGCCCTCCTTCTATAGCTTTCAACTGAGAAAACAGGGTTTGCGTCATCAGAGAATTTTTATAGCTTAATTGCGCTAGAACGAGGGGGTTGTGCATGGGTAATTATTTTTCATTCATATGTTTCATTTTACAGCATTAATTCATTGGCTGAAACTGCGTATCACACTTGTTATTAACGTCACATCAAGTCATGATTATCAACTGTACGTTAATGGTTGGCCTTGAATTCCAATTCGAAGTAGCGTTCCAGTTATTTCATTTCAATGCTATAGCTCAGTGGAAAATACTGCCAAATCTCGGAGCGACAAGGATTGCGAATCGGGTGGCACGTGATTGAAGCGCTGGCGAATCGGGTGGCACGCAATGGTGGCACGTGATAGTGATGGGCGATACCAGCTTTTTGGGGTTCGATACGATACCAGTCCGATACCATGAATTTTGGCCGATACCGATACCAAAATCGATACCGATACTCAATTTTTTCCATTTATTAAAATAACTTTTAAAACAAGAACATTAATGTTAACAAGTCAAAAAATACTCTAACTGGAGTACCAGCTGCCAAATAATCGAACATAACATTTGCAATTATGATTTTAAATCTAAACAATATCGACGTGTTCAATGTTTTCCTAAATATATTGCTAATTAGCTACATGTTTTTGTTAAAGAACAGCATCATGTCAACATTTTTTGCCTTCAGTCTGTTGCCTTCATCAAGTATTAAGCGATTGGTCAGGAATACTGACCAAAAAATCGCAGGCTCAAGTGGTATCGAATTACCGATACTTTTTTCGAGTATCGAAAGTACTAGTATCGATACTTTTGTAAGTATCGATGATTTCGATACTTTTTCGATAGTATCGCCACAGATGAGGTAAGTACAGATGTGAATCTCCTGTGAAATTGCTGATTGTTTTGTGTCACACGGAATTCTCACTTCCGGCGAGCGCTGGAAAGTGTCGTTCTGAAATTTAGGGACGGACCATTAGAAAAGTGATGGGGGGGGGGGGGGGAAAAAAAATTTATTCCCAGACAAAAATGAAAAAAAAAATCTTTCAAGGCATAGTGCAAAAAAAAAAATTCCTTGCTTAGAAGATAGGCCAAGTGGTGTACTGGAGGGAGGGCTCAGGGGAGCTGAGCCCCCTTGTTGACTTGGGGGGCTGCACGTTGGTCAAATTTAGCAAAATTTCTCCCACTCGTGCGGGTTCGTATTGACAGCGGACATCTTACAGAAAGTGGCCAGTTCTTTGAAAAATGCAAAAGTTTCAATTTTACACCGCAAGTCCACTGACAATATGAGCCTGCGATCCTGGGAGAAAATTTGTTGAATGTGACCAGCGTGCTGAGCCCCCCTATATTATGGCACGTTGCATAATTGATAATCTTAACAACGTGCGAAAACACACAAAAAAATACCAGTAAACGAGAATGTTCTTTAGAATTGCATCTCATTTTCACTCATCATTTAACACAATGATTTTCGTAATCTTTATATCGCCATTTTTGTAATGTTTATATCATTTAGTACCACTAAATTGTAAATTTCGACATACTAAAACGCTGTTTTCTGACCATCAGAATTCTGTCAAATCTTCCCCAAAGTCCAGGAAATGGCATTTCAGAGACTCTAAATTTAAAAATTTCCTCGGGCCTTCGGCCCTCGCTTCGGCTTGTTTTTAATAAGAATAATGTCAAATGTTTGTCCCAGAATTACTAGAATAAACCCCAACAAAATTTAGAATTTCTAAAATATCTTATTGTACCTCCCCTCCCCTCCCGCCAATTCAGGGCACTTTGGAGAGCCCCCCTTGTTAACATTCCAGGACTACACCACTAATAGGCCTATAAATTTCACTTAAAGGGCCCTACAGTCATTTTTTAGTCGAAAGCCACCTTAAGTAGGGGACTCCACGGAGATTCGTTTGGCTGTATCTTACATGCAGTATCCATGAGTATGAGTACTTTCGCACACAGAAAACGCATGCATACTGTGGTGCGCATGTCAAGTAGCGACAATAACAAAAAATGTAAACAATACTTACTTGACTAAAAAATTACTGTAGGGCCCCTTTAAAAAAAAAATATTTCCAACCATCAAGTGAGAAAAAAAAAAATATTTCTTCTATAGGTGTACAAAAAAAAAAATATTGCCTCTTAGAAAATCCCCCCCCCATCACTTTTCTAATGGTCCGTCCCTTAATAAGGAAAGAGATAGGAAAACGCCGTTCGAAAGACGAAAAATTGTTTTTTTAAAAAGTCTACGCTACCGACGGCTATTTTTGGAATTAATTCTTCAAGAGTAACGATAAGCGATCACTTTTATTGATTTCTTTTTATTAAAAGTGTTAATATAACATTTTATTTAGCAAAAGTTTGTTTTTTTCCCTATCTACTTCTTATTAAAATCGTGTATAAATAACAAAACAGAGAATGATATAAATGCCTCAAAACATAACTCTCGCATAAAAAAAACATGAATACTTCTATAATATGTATAGTTTTATTCCTCTGCATTATCAAAATTTAATAAAATAGTGAATTAATACAATTTTAAAGTTTATTTAATCCGTGTGACACATTTTCACAGGAGATTCACATCTGTATTACCTCATCTGTGGTATCGCCCATCACTAGCACGTGATTGAAATCAAAATGGCGTCTAAAAGACCTGAAAATCGTGGTCCTCCAGAACTGTTTTATAACGAAGAAGAAGCAAGAAAATACACATGTAACTCAAGAATGATTGATATTCAAGTATCTCTCACGGAAAGAGCTTTAGAGTTACTGGGTATGAATGATGATGAACCGAAATTCTTACTAGATATAGGTTGTGGTTCTGGTCTTAGTGGAGATGTTCTCTCTGAAGCTGGACATTATTGGCTTGGTTTTGATATAAGTAAAGCTATGTTAGATGTTGCTAAAGAAAGAGAAGTTGATGGAGATATTATTCTGCATGATGCTGGACAACGTTTGCCATTTCGTCCAGGATCTTTTGATGGTTGTATCTCTGTATCTGCTCTACAATGGCTGTGTACTTCAAACAAGAAGGAAGATAACCCTGTGCGACGTTTACATACGTTTTTCTCTTCATTATATGCATGTTTATCTCGCGGTAGCAAGGCGGTGTTTCAGTTCTATCCAGAGAACCCACAACAAATGGAACTAGTGACAGCTCAAGCGATGAGAGCAGGCTTTACTGGAGGCATTGTTGTTGATTATCCGAACAGTAGCAAAGCAAAGAAAATATTCTTATGTCTTTTCACTGGTGGGAACTCAAGTTCTCTCCCTCGAGGTCTAGGAGAAGATGTCACAGGGACAGTTGGCAATGAAGTACGGTTCTCAGGCAAGCGAGAGCGTTTAACAAAACCACAGTGGGGTAAAGCACCCAAGAAAAGTAAGGATTGGATTGAAGCAAAGAAAGAAAGAAGACGTCGTCAAGGGAAAGAGACAAGGCATGAATCAAAATACACTGGACGAAAACGAAGACCTGTATTTTAATGACTGTGGTACCGGGTGTATGTGGAAATAAATTTTAAAAAACCCTTTGATTTGGATTTGCTAAAAATGGCCTATTCTCTAGCATCTTAATGTTGCAAAGCCTTGCTATTAACATGTAAGTGGCCTGAAATACATATGGCCTCGACAAATACACTTTAATCATGCACAGAACTAAATAGTGCTCTTTTATTCATTTAATATATACACCCTTTCCATAATTACGTCATTTGGCCTGGGAGCCCCACTCTCATGAATCGTGAGCCATTCACCTTGAGTAATTTACTAATGAGAGCAAGGCACCAAGACCAAAAAGTATGTGTGACATAATTATTGAAAGGGTGCATTATCTCATCAGAAACTGTAAAATGGTATTTCCCTATGTGTACATATTTATGAAAAATGCTTAACTGGGAAGCAGCCTTTAGGCCAGTAAATATCAATTACTTGTTTTGAAATAGACTTCACTACAGTATGCTTGAGTTGACCATGCTAAACACTAACTCTTTGTTCCACCATCATGGTGAATAAATAATATGATTATGCAGTTTTTTTCCAAAATTATGATTCTTCCATACCATACAGTCAAACTTCTTTCAAGTACCTATCTATTACGCATCTGTTGGTTCATAGATGTGACTGCAAATGGGGCTGTGTATTTGTGACAGTTGGTCACATGGGTCACAAATACCACAGTGGATATTCACAACAGTTCTATGGCTGTTTGCAGCAGAAATTTTTGCAAAATTATAAAGTAGCTAGTTTTGACCATTTTTTGACCGTTCAGATTTGACTTTCACAACGGCTACCATTAAGGAATCATTAACCTTGAGTTACCTTTTGCCTCAACTACAGACTACACCACTACACTGCAAACCCTGTCCCTACTACCCATTGGCACGAGTACTTGGATATGGTCCTCTTCTACAAAATAGTAAATGGTGTGGTGAATTAAAAATGCTAGGTCTGGTGAATGTTAAACCTTCTCTCATTCCAACCATCCGAACCTCGAGAGGTTCCAACCTCGTTCCCAGGCTCTCGGCGGTCGAGGGGCCACAAAACACACTGCTTTCCCGAAGTCTCAGTAAATAAGTGTTTTGTTATATAGTATATAAGTGTCGAAGTATGAATAATTCACCGGTTATTGAAGTGAACTTAATTTGAAACCAAAACTGGATAAATGGAACCCCGTAAATGTTCAGTAAAAATCACTAAAAAGTTTTAAAAATGAACTTTGGAACTTGATAGCCGACACGCATGCGTATTGCACCCATTTTATTATTGATCGGTCAATAAATGTTTGATTGCGGACTGGTTGCCGAACATGACGTTTTGTGGACCGGCACGTGACACTGTTTTGACCAATCGGCAAGCAGAAAAATTGAACTTTGACACTAACTATATAACAAGTACACTTGAATGAGAAATTTATTTTATTAAAGGATTCATCGGATCGGAATTCTTTATCAAAACTCGGATCGGATTCTGATTGGACAATTTCGGATCGGATTGGATTTTAAACATTAGATTATAAACGTCCAATCCGATTCGATGCACACCTATAGTCTTCACCCCTTTCCGATGTGTACTAAGCTAGTGAGAGGTAGTGGACGTCGAATCTGAACTTCTCTATTGTGACCAATTATGATGTGTAAGAGTGATTCGCATTGTTGCTTTGTAGATTTCATGCATTTCAATATATGTAAACAATTTCGGTTTTTTGTTTGCGCATGAGCTGACTATTGGAACTGGTCATAATTTTTCAGTGCATTTGGTGGTGTGTGTGATCAATGCCACACTCATGCAATCCGATTTCTCGGATTCAATTGGGTCGGATTATAGAGTTGGCTGTTCAGAACGCATCTTACCAGTGTTTAGTTCGTGATCAGAACGCAGTCATGCCAATACTGATTGCCCATATAAGTAGGACCATATGCAGTGATCCTCAGGAGTAATGCGCATATCAAACATAGACAAGCATTTCAAATTTAGATCATTTTTAGGTCTGAATTGATATAAACATAAATATAAAGTCCATATAAACGCATGGAGGGATATAATATATAATGCAAATGCTGCCATATCAAGAAATGCAATACATCGGGCCAGATCTCCCACAGCGTCAGCGGTCTGTAGTGTTGGCCTTTGCGATATTCCATATACAACAACAGACAACGTTACCATCCTTTTATTGACTCTGAAACTCAATGAATATGCTGCGCAATCGTTTATCTTTAGTTTAGGCTTTATGATGTGCTAATGTGCATCGTAATGATGTGCTATGAGTGCAAGCGTGTTTCGCAACGTTTGACCCCTTCTTGCTTTGTTTCACATTCCTTACCTGTTCGGACTTTCTCGTCTTCAGGGGCAGTCTTGACACGGTATCTGATAGACCACGTTCAGTTTGTTCTTCTATAAATAAATAATATTTTCTTCTTCTAGAAATAAATATTAAGTCAGAGAACGTTGAATAAAAAATGTTTCAACCTCACTATAGTGGCCATACGCATCCTCTATTTTTTTCAATTGAAGTATTTGTTGATAAAAAATACTCATTGTAAATGCGTTAATTGTTAATAGTTCTATTAAACAAACCAAAAAGAACGGAAAGGTGCGCGAAATTAAATCGCGCGAATTTAAAGCTGAGCGAAAATGAGTACGACTGTACGACGAGAATTTTAATACAAGTATTAAATAAGGTATTGGCTCAAAAAATGCGTGCATTTCGGGAGACTGAATCATGAATGTTGCCATCGAAGCACGTCTAAATTAATCTTCCCAATGTCTATAGCTAGCCAGATAACAGGTAAATAAACGAGAGCCAAGACAAATCCACTACCAGTAAAGAAAAGTTGGTCACCACACCTTACGCGCAATTTATGTTAATTGATTGAATACATTCAAGGTCAAATCGTATAGCCGCAATGCGCCATTTACTGTTGCGCAAATATGTACACTATATGGCGGTACTGTGTCTGTGTATATGCGGTACTGTGTCTGTGATTACCTTAATCTGGTATACGTCTACTTTCAGGTTTTCGTTTAAAAACATAGAGACGACTGGGGACGAGTCAGGGAGTGAAACATTACTATATCTATTCAACACGGTAGAATATCATTAGACCTTCTGACACAAAACATTCTGAAAAAAATATTAACACAAAATCAATCGCGATGGTTAATTCTCCGAGAAATCAGTCAGTCATAAATTCTTTTATATTTTGCGGTTGTATATAAGTACCCTGTTACCCTATGTGATAAATACAGAACATAGCTACAGGCCGATCTTTGTGACTGTATTTTCACCTGTTCCAAATCAATTTATTATCAGCGTGTAACCTGATATTTAGGTTAAGCGTAAAGCCCCAAGCTGTGATTCCTTGCCCTTGCTCTTTACGAAACTACCTGCATGTGTTCTGTGTGTTCCGAATCAATACTAACCCGTTCTAAATTTTAGAATATAGAGTGCCAAACACTGTGTCTAGGAATGTCTAGGTAAACCTTGAGATAAACTTGGCTGTCTGCGTAGCAGGCGTTTATGCGGGCGGCGGCGACTTAGGCTTGTCTAAAATATAAAACGAAGATCTTGCGTGAGCATTACTATTACCGCCCATTTAAATAAAACCTTACCTACACATGACCAAAACAACGAGAAAATGAGAAATTGACTTGGGTCCATACCTAGGTTTATAATAGTGAAACTGGGATAAGACTATGTATTCAACGCCAGATCTGAGCTGACAGTGTATTCTGAGAAAAGATCGACCATAATGAAAGTTGGTCTAAAAATATTTATCAAAATTCCAAATCAATTTCATTCTATATATACTAAGCTATACTACAAGAGTAAAAAGTGTAAGATGTTCTATGGCTACATGCAGTCTATGTCTATATATATATATATATATATATTAAAGTTTAAGTAAAGTTTTAAATCCATTTCGTTGAAGCGAGTGCATCGTCTGTGCTCGCTGAATATTAAAGTTTATCAGTTTCAGTTCTTTAATATTGCTTTGTTCCTGGTGGATACACCGTGCCTTGAGGTTGATACGGTGGGGGTTGGCTTTGGTAATACATTGGTTGTCCTTGTTGCCCAGAGAATTGTTGTTGTTGTTGGGTTGCAACGACTGTAGTTCCTGTGGTTGTAGGTTGTGTTACTACAACACCGCCATGAGCATGACGTGTCGAGGCTGCTGCCGCACAACAACAGCAAAACACGACAACTGCAATAGGAATGACGATAACAACAATAACACTGATAACAATTACTGCAACAATCCAACCAGCTAGACCTGACACATCAATCACGTCGCAACTTGTGGCACATTCATTATCAGAATTGCAACATTCTCCGGGAGCGCAGTTGTCGTTCACTATGCAAGACTCACCAATGCAATTTACTTCACATATATTGGTTTGATATGTTCTCTCACAGCAATACTCGAAAGGACAATCACCGTCTTTATTGCACGTTTTGGCTTGGGAAAACACGGCGTAAACAGCAAGAAATAAAACACAAAAAACTGTAGTCTTCCTTATACACGCCATTGTGAAACCGTTTGTATAATTTGCTGCGTAGTTGGCTACCTGGTGTTGCGTCAATGCCTTTCTGCGTCGTTTTTCATCATGTGGTCAAGTAGGATGTATAAATATTTCAATTTCCTGTCATGTGACATTATAGAAAATACAACACAGCTGTAGCTTTCTTTCACTTTTCAGTCGAATCTCATTATCTCAGTGCTATTTAATAGTCTTTATGAAATAATAGAATTTATTTAAATAAAAAATTTACTGCGTTGATATGGCTCGATATCCAACTTGAAATTCATCAATATGTTACCATCGTGGCTAAAACCCTGGCTTAGGGAGTGTTCATTATTTATACCCGGGGTTGGTACCGAAGAGAAACTAATCGAAAAGAGAAAAAAATAACTACCCACCCTTTCGATCAACCATTTTTTTCCCTACCCAACTATTGCATGACTTGGATATTTATTTTACCCAACCCAATTTCAAAATTATACAAGTATTTTACATATATACATATATATTATTATACAAGCTAGGCCACTATAGTATAAACAGTACTGTGCATATATTTGGTGCACTAACTGAATGTCAAATATAATCATTTGTACCTTCACAAGTTCATATTATGTCCCCAAGCCTCCAAGTTCCTGCAGTCTTACCATATCTCGTTGTTGTAATCAGAAGAGATGGGGAGTTGGAGTTTAGTTTTCTTTGTGGGTAGTGAATGGATATTTCCTGGAATGATCCATTTCGTTAAATAAAGGATTTTCATATTTTGTTCAATTGAAGGTTGGTATTGAAAAAAATATTTACCCAACCCTTCATACCCCAGAAAAATGACTTACCCAACCCATTTCTCTTCGGTATCAACCCCGGGTATAAATAATGAACACTCCCTTATTATGCAAAGTCTTAAAATTCTAGTTTAAAATTTGAAAACAAACTCCGAAGAACTCAAGATATTGCATGATTAAAATCAAGACAAAATATCATATGGTGATACTTCGACTAGCAATGAATTTTTTCGACTAAAATCTAGTTGACAGAAAAATCATTGTTAATTCATGCATAATTGTGGTCACTAAGAAATGAGTGTTGGTGTCGCGGAGGGCGGAATGTTCAATGACAATGCGGAGTGATTTCTCGCGAGGGGCGTGTGCACTGTGTGCAGGTTGCGAATTTGGAGAATTTAAATTTTTTAGGGGGTTTTCCAAATTAAACGTTTTGTCCAATATATGCCTACAAATCACCAAGAGCATCATGCTGGAGTACATGCGTTTAATAAAGCACATAATTCGCAAGGAAAACTATATAACATTTTCACAATATCGGCAAAACCCTCGTAAGCTGCAGAAGTACACGAAGGGTAATAATGGCCCCAATACATTTAGTCAAGGTACACTGAAACGGATGGTGGGAAACTGTTAATAGAATTACGGTAGGAACACACGTAGTGATAATGTCAGTTTCTTGATTGATCCTGACTTTATAAATGAGTATTTTCAAAAGATTAACACTGACACACAGTATACGGCTCCCGTACTTCTATCCATCCCGGTGTCACAGGAGATTCGCCCCCCCCCCCCTCTCAAAAGGGGGGGGGCATATTCCTAGGATATTCGCCCTCCCGGGGCGAATCTCCTAGGAATATCGCCCCCCAGGGGGCGAATCTCCTAGGAATATCGCCCCCCTTTAGGAATTTCGCCCCCCCCATATTAATTTTGAATTTTTGATCTAAAAACAAAACGATTGCAAGTTGAAAAGATTCATTGCGTGATTTATTTATTACAAGGAGACAAAATTACATACAATAGCCGCCACAGTAATCACTTTGCTAACAATAAACTATAGGATTAATAAAAAATCTATGGAATGTGTTGGGAAGCGTATTGACTATTGTCCGTTGAATCATCAACTTTCCATGTCAGTGTTAGTGATGTAATCTTGATTCTTGACTTCCGCAAAGAAAATTGCATTATATATGTGGTGTGGTTTATTCAAATAATTTCATGATACTTTGATTTTATTAGTGCCTTAAACATTTGAGAATGTAACTCTGCAAAACTAAAAGCTTTTTTGTCTTTTTTGAAACGTATATTATTGGAGTATTGCCTATTGGCAAGTTCTGGTGAAGCTAAGGAAGCCCTATCAATATGTTCTTTTAAAAATATTGTAAGGCAAAGTAACTAACCTAATATTAATCTAAATGGATTATTACAGACATATTTATATGGCCAAATCACACCAAACCACCAACTTCCTTTTAAACCATTCTAATTAATTACTATATATATTGCATGTATTTGTACTTATATTTGTCTTTTTTGTAAATAGTTTTTGTAAATTTTCAAATGTCTACGCCCCTTGTGGAAATCAACTCTCTTAGTTGACAAGGCTAGCGTCTTTAAATAAATTTTTACATACATTACATACATACATACATACATACCCTTCGCTTCTGAGATTTACAAACTATATTGAAATAATGCAAGTAAAAAATAGTGACAACTTATAAGCCACACATTTTCCAATAACGTCAAAACGCGGATGCAAAACAATACCAATAATTACAATAACCACCACGGTGATTACTTTTTAACAATGAGTTTAAGGATTAACACTGAAAATGCAAAATATGCATGGTGTGCTGTGAAGCGTCATAAGTCCTATTGATTTACTGTAACTGTGTAAGCCCTTTCGATACACGTAATTGTAAATTTGCATTCTTACAGGACTTGAAATAACGTTCCCAAAGTTCCCGATCATGGTGATCGGCAGTCATGACTTTCCCTGCTTTTTCAGGTTGGAAACCGAAACCGCCGATCATAAGCAATTCCTTGCCGATCATTGATCGGTGATCGGTTGTTATTTCAAGCTCTGTCTTAACAATTTTGAATTGATACTGATTTCAAATGAAGCCATGTAATAATTATCCCAGGCAACTGTTAGGAAGGGCGAAATTTTGAACGAAAATCCTAAAGAAAAAGTGAAGTTTCTAAAGGGGGGCGAATATCCTAAAGGGGGGCTAAATTCCTAGGATTTTCGCCCCCCTGGGGGGGCGATATTCCTAGGAATTTCGCCCCCCGGGGGGCGAAAATGTAGGGGGGGGGGGCGAAAATCCTGGGACACCGGAACGAACTCGAACCCTAAAGTTGATGTGGGTACTGTAGAAGAATTTATGACAAAGCTTAAATTAACGAACAGTACCAGGGCTGGATGGGCTTCCATACTGGTTGTGGAAAGATTTCGCAAAGTACGTACCTTGCACCGATACTCACCCAAGTATTGAATTCTTCGTTAAAACAGCAGTGTGTCCCCACTTGAAAACTTGCAAATATTTCGCCGATACCGAAAGAAACACCATTGTCTGACTGTAACCAATTAAGACCAATATCACTTACTAACATTATGAGACTATTTGAAAAACTTGTTTAAACTAGAGATATCGTCACATACGAAGACTATCATAGTGATCACGAGTTCACATATAAAGGGAGTACAAATACAACAACTGCCCTAATAATGTGTCAATACCACTGGCTTAAATGGCTAGAAGACGAACATGTCGACTTTGTTCGAATCATATCATTAGACTTTAGTAAAACTTTTGATTTCTCCCATGACATTGTATGTGAAAAACTTAAATCGATTAATCTCAATCCCTACATAATCAATTGGATTATTAATTTTCTTACGTATTGAGACACTGACAGAGAGTCGTTGTTGATGGAACTGTAACAGAATTTGTTGATATCAAAAGGTGTACCGCAGGGTACGGTGCTACAATCGCGTGCAAAAATTCTTGAGACAAGCAGTTTATTGGCCCTCTCCCTGCTGTAACAATGCTTCTTGCCCCCCCCCCTTGTGCAATGTTGTTAAAACGATTTTGAGGTCAGGGCTTATCAAATAATATGTTTTCAACATTGTTAATGGGGGGAGGGGGGCACGCACGTGAAAAAGATCACCAAAATGTGAAGAGTCTCATTATTTTTGCACGCGATTGTCTATGTAGTTTCGAGTAATGATAATTTTAATACGGTTATTTCGCTTTGCCGTAAATAAGAAGCATAACAGCCTTTGCTTGCTGTGACTATGTGTTTTATGTGTGCCTAAGGATTTTACCTACAGTGTGTAAAAATGTGACGTCACAATGACGTCATCGTGACGTCATAAATGATCGTAAATAGTTCATAAATTGAACGCGTCCCGCTTGAGTATCAAAACAGTTAGGACAAGATGCCATTGACAAGCAGATCACGTCAGAAAAGTTTGAACAATTTTCCGAATGAGTTAAAAGCACGAGGATGAATTTGTCAAAAAGTTTTATGAACTGAATTATTATATCGATGAACAAGCGTGTTGCAATGATCAGTGAGAAACGAGGGGAACGATTAAAGTATTAAATTTATTAAGTGTTTCTATATTACAATGTTTTTCCCTATTTATACCGTTTATATTGGCAGTGCCTTTTGACTTCAATAACTGTTTTAGATGCTTAATAGTGACGAATGTATTAAGTACACACTTCTACCATGCATATTCAATAAAAGTACTATGCGAAAACTCAACGACTTATTGCCTACGTGAAAATTATTTTGAAGACCTTATACATGCATACAAACTAAATAGAACTCAATTTCAACACGTTACGCACACGTTACGCACGTTACGCACACGTTACGCCACACGTTACGCCTTTCACTATATAAGAATCTATAGCAAGCTGACACGTTACACACGTTACGCCTAATATATTAAAGGTAGACCTATTCTACCTTTAAAAGAATGGGGCGTAACGTGTGTAACGTGTCGGTTTTCATTAATATTCTATATAAAGTCAAGCGTAACGTGTGGCGTAACGTGTGCGTAACGTGTGCGTAACGTGTCATCTATTCTTATATATTTCTTTGAGAGTAAATGTGCAATGATGGCAGCATGAAAAAAGTTCATCCAAAAACACCAGTTCGTCAAAACAGCGTGGTTACGGAGACAGGTCTTTCTGCTCCGCCTGCGGAATC